AAAGAGGATATGTGACAAAGATGAGGTGAATTAGAATATTAAGAGCTTACATCTAAGTTCTGTCTTTGGTTCGCACTCCTCTTGCCTATTTGTGCCTTCTGAATTGAAATAAAATATAATCATTGTTACGAATTTACAGTAATTTCTTTCTGTCATTCTATTTTTTGTTTGTTTCTGTCTTTAGTATTATGTTGCCAACACACATTGTTATTTGTTTATTAAACCATGATTAAACTGCTCATTAAACAGCGGAAAGCCCGCCACAAAAAAATGAAACTTTAAACTACCTTTAACACTACGACAAACAAGAAAAAACAGTAGAAGTTTACTTTGTAGGCCTACTTGTGAAAGACCATTTGTCCTTTTCCTATAAATTTTCAACCCGTTAAAAAAAATCTGTTCATTTTCAAGTCACTTTGCAGCCATTAGGCCTGATTTGCATGACACATAATTTTGTACAAGATTGCTTATTTTAATTTGGATCATTTGACTGAACAGAAATGGGAGGGGGTGTTATGTATTAATGTGTTGAAGGCACACTATTAATTAATATATCACGAACAACAATTTGTTTTGGTATCTGACAAACCCGTTTAATCCTCGTGTAGCCGATCAATCCACCAATTACCGTTCCGAAGGCCCCAACAATTATACCCACAAACAATATTCCAATTGTCAAACTTGTGCCTGGAAGGGATGAAGATATAACAGTAAATTTCATACAATTTCAATCATAATAATGCGGTTTGGCGCAGTGGGTGCAGTTCTTCTCAACTTCCCTGTACATTTTAGCCTGTGTCCAGGCGCTTTACATACGGTTGTCTCTCTTCATCCAGGAGTAAAAGTGGGTGTATGGTAATCGCAAACAGAAAATTTGCTTTCAGTGCTTTACCCTCTATCAATTCAGTAGTCAAATTTAAATGCCAAAACTCGATAAGCGAAAGCTTTTATTTTTTGTCTGAAAATAATTATGTTTATTGTAAATATGTGTTTGAAGAAATAAAATAAAAGACAGTAGAGAGATGTGTAGAAATGCGCAGATCTTACAGCTCAGCATCATGGAATTTTCTCTAGGGTACGTATTACTGTATATGCGATTAATTCAATGCCGGGTTTTATAGTGTGAATCGTTATAGGCTATAGGTCTAAGTTTAACATAATTATTTTATTTCATTTTATTTATTTATTTTCATTATTTTATTATAGAATGTTTAATGAAGTATATTCAAGTAGGGAGGTAACAACACCAATTACAACGATAAATGAAAATAATAGATGATGATGTTGATTGGTAGTGGTAATGACGATGATGATGTGCCACGGTTTTAGTTTCCTTGTTTGTTTATTTGGCATATTATTCAGCATATTACTTTTTTTTTCTAAAATTTTTCAAGAAATAGCAATTCCGACATTTTTTTTTATTCCACTTGCTCTACCAAAAACTTCACTATTTAAAATATTTTAAAGTAGGGGCCTACCTATCACTTCTTTTCGTTTGCAGGCGTGGTAATAAAAGAATTACATTGTATCATATCATAGAATATTTCTTTAGAAACCTTATGGTTATAGGAACTTGTCCCTCCGTGTTGTTTTTACTGTTTTCTAGTCAATGTTAAAATGAAGGATAATTGTAAGAGCGTGCGACACTGCGTGTAAGCGCTGGCCTTTCAATCTTCAGGTCGGGATTCGAGACTGATGGTCGTCACACTGCTTGTGTTTGGGCAAGACACTGCCTGCCTCTCTTCACTCAGGAGTATAAATGTATATCTGGTAGGGTGAGGAATTCGTAATGAAATTAGCAGTGCTGATTATACGCATAGGAAAAGCACATTGAATACTTCTTCCATAATTGGATAATACGCTGTATATACGGTAATGAATAAGGAAATAAATATTTTTTGTTAAGCCGTATATGGGATTACAATCCTTCCCGTGCCATTACTAAATCGAAACAGCAAGAACATTCTAATAAAATTGATGTTACGTAATTAGTGATTTTAGTTTTACATAAGACTAACTTAATCCTCTTGGTCCCTGGGAAGCATAGGGCGTCCACCATAGGTCTCCTTCCCACCCGTCTCTGTGCCGCAGCTTTGGCTCCCCCCCCTCCCCCAATGGAACGGATATTTTTTAGGTTTTGTAGAGTAGAGCGACGCCAGTTGTTCTTGGGTCTGCCCTGTTTTCTTTTCCACTGCGGGTTGTAGTCTAGGGCCTGCTTGGTGACGTTTGTAAGGTCTTTTCTTAAAGTATGACCTATCCATCCCCATGGCACTTCCTTCTCCTTATTAGGTTGCTGAGTTTTACATAAACAACATTGAAAAACCTTAAAATATATTAAAAAATACATAAAAAATAAAATGCTGTAGATGTGATGAAATGTCCCTAGTAAATCAAAACTTTTTTACGATGACAATTGCTTATCGATATGATGAAAAAGTTCGTGTCATTTACGATACTCACTGTAAATGCTACTTTCACAATATCTCCCACTGTAGCCTTGTTCACATTCACAAGTAAACGCAAAATTAGCAGGTATACAAGTCCCTTTATTTCCACATGGATTTGAAACACAATAGTCAACACCTAAAAAATTATATTTAAAAAATAAGGTTAAAGTAATCCTATGGATTGTTCACTCTTTAATTGTTTTTTTTTTTATAGCCACAATAATTTTTTTTTTTTTTTTTAATATGGCAGTGGTAGTGGAGGTGCTGAGAAGCAGTAGCAGTAATAATGGTAGAAGGAAAAGGAGGTGAAGGAGGCCAAAGAGGAGGAATGTGGAATTGTAAATGGTATAAAATAGACGAGGTTTGCATGAGTATAACTGTTTCGAAAACAATTTCAAACTTTCGACAAACTGCATTGGAAATCGTTCTGATCAACAAATGTAATTATATCACTAAAGGATTATGATAGGCATAGAGTACTTTTGTTTTGTAAAACAGAAAACGTTAATAATAATCTCTCAAATCTATATTCAATTAAATCAATTTTTGAGTAATTTATTGTGCAGTGAAATTATTTAAAATTTAAAATTAACGGAGTACTACCGTACCTAAATTTTCTTCCTCCTTCATTCATATACTATAAGCACACATGGAAAATAGTGCAAAAATCAGTTTCAACTTAATTTATAAATTTAAAAGCATACTTGAGACAGTGACTTTGAATGATTTGGTTGCTGATCCAATGTTATTAGTAGCCTTCACTGTTATTGCATAGTTTGTGCCAACAACGTCTGATGCCCTGAATGTGAAGGTCGTTGGGTCTGTATCTTTATCATTCAATTCAGTGATCCATTGGTAAGTAACTTCATTAGGATTAGATAAAATGTCTGGTGCAATAGTGACATTCTCACCAGGAGCAACAGTAATGTAATCAACATATTCAGGTGGATCTAAATACACAAGTAAAATAATTATTCAAGATAATTATAATTCTGAATGAATCGTTTTAAATATCTTTTGATTTGATTGTTATAATTATTTTCTATGCTTCCGAGTTTGTTTGAAAGCAGCAGTCTGTGCTGGAGCAAAGCATGGTTCACTGACAACTGTAGAATAACCAAGCAAGAAAGACGCAGAGCCGAACGCAATGGCTGAAATCCCAAGCTCAATGTGATCTTGCAGAGTACAGGATTCAATGTAATCTTTACTTCACCGTACTCTTAATGAGGCTCGAGCCGAGCTTCATACCTTCAATCTAAGAACGATGGATGTGGTACAGGGTTGACGCCAGCGGAGGGAAGGGGGGCACAGCAATTCATGTACTCTCAAAATACATGTACTCTCCAAAATCTTTGATATTTATCTTAAAACTGTTGCTACATTTTTTTTTCCACTGTAAACTCTCGCCATTATTGTGATTCTACTCTTTGACAATTATTTCCAAACAGTAGAGTCACACCACACTCTTAATATCAGAAATAAAAATCAGATTCGTATTAATTTTAAAAGAACTAAAATAGGCCAACATTGGATAACATACCAAGGTGTAAGAATATGGAATAACCTCTCACAACTATTGACATCTCAAAATCACAATTCTTCTTTCAAAAGAGAGCTCCATAATGAACTCAACATTAAGTATTTGTAATTCTTTCTTTTAAACGTTTTTATTTCAACCCTGAAACCTTTTGTAGAAACACCGGTATTGTGTCCGGCGGGGTATAGTTCTACCAGCTGTAGTTAAGTTAGTTAAGTCAGCCCTTCTGTTTTGTACGGGGGATTCATATAAATAATACTAATAATGATAATACTGTATGGTTTTATATAGTTTTATAATATGCTCAGGGCGCTTGAAATCTGGACTGAGCTCGATCAATTACTTTCTTCGACCCTAAGGGTCCCTCCGTGTCTGTGCTCCCCGGTACCAGCAACTCTCCTCGTCCATCATAGGGGGCTTTCTTTTCCAGTACACCGAGGTATCTCACTTCTGTCTGGATGTGCTGGGTTCTTTATAATGCACATGAGCCATTACATACACTGGGCCTATGGTTTATAGTCCTTATCCTGAGAACCACCAGAACCGTTAGGTGAGCGTGCCGTTTGAACCAGAGTGCCGATATCATGGATGTTGCTAGCAGCGGCCCTAACTGCTCGGCCATTCGACTTGCATATTATGTAAAAGCTCTGCTTTGTTTTTCATTTTTGCCATGTTACTTGATTTGATATTCATATTTAATTTGATGTTTGAATTGCTTTAGAATAAATTTTATACTGCAGGTTCTTTGCAAAGGAAATTGAACCTTGTCAGCGTACCTTGATTTGTCTGCCGCATTCGATAAGACAGATCATAGTATTCTTATCAGTACACTTTCAAATAGGTATTTCTGGTACAGTGTGTCGTGGTTCAATTTTTACATAACAGATAGAAAACAGTCTATTGGAGTGAAATATGCTGTCTTGTCTTGCCCCGTTCCCATTAATTTTATGTCCCTCAAGTTTCTACTTTGAGGCACATTTTGTTTCTCATTTACACGCGTCCTCCGGAACGTTATCCATAAACATGCCATTATATATCACATCTACGCTGACGATACTCAGCTATACCATACCTCTATGGCTATACACATCTTTTAGTACCCAGGCTGCCTCCGAGATAATTCGTAACTTAGAAGCTTGCATTGATGAAGTACATGCATGGTTGTCTTTGGAATTTGGTCTAATTCTGAAAAAAATTGCTGGACATCTCTCCTGACAGCGACCTGGTCTCACTTGGACTGTCCGCTGGTGCCACCACTGAGTTGAGCAAGATTCTGAGTTGCTGTTGATATCATTAAGCTGGGGATTTTATTTGTTAGTCTTCATGAAATATTATAAGTATTTTGTAAATTCCTTGTCATACAGTACTGCAATATGTTGAAGGGGTCCATGAAAAAATCACTGCTGGTGTTTACTAGTAGAGCCAAGATTTACCATTATGCTACATTATCCTATACAAATGGATATACTTAATTTTATATTTATTCTTATTTCTTCAATTTCTGATGAAAGCAAGTAAATCAAACTAAACTGAATTTCTAATGAACAGCACTAGTTATTGCTAACTCTCACATTTACACAAAATCACAATTCAAATGATACTGATAAGTTGCATTATATAGGCCTATAGGAATTTAGAGTAAAAATATTGCACTTGAATACCGCTATGCTGTCAAATCTACTTTAAATTACCAAACACTGGAAAAGGTTTTTTCATTTCATTATAAATCTATGTCAATAATTGAAGAAAAAAATTGGACACCTAAACAAATTCTTTCATGACTCGTTAATTTTTTTTTTAAATGTACGTATACGAAGATGGCACCTCATTACAAGATATTTCATGTTATTCTTATTAGCAGTAACCTACACAATATGTTCGGAAAAATCCTGTCAACATCGACAGGTTTGATGTACAGTACTTTTGATTTATTGGCATCTCATAAAACATAAAAAAGAATTGACTTTTTCGTCATCTTTAGATAAATGTGTATGACAAAGATATGTTTGTAACTATGTTTAATTTTTCTGGTACTGTATAAGTAAAAGAATACAATTTATCTAGAAACCATATGAACCTATTTTATCGAATATTCCTATACTTACAATAATTGAGAACTGTTGTTTCACTTTCTTTAGAACCAGCTCTGTTTGTCGCTGTACATTTGTAGCTTCCTCCATCACTCTCTGTTACAATGTCTATCTTATATGTTAAACGCAAGTTATTTTCGGTCTTGATAATATAACCATCCTTAATGAGATTTACCACGGTAAGTAGACTGCCATTTACAAGACATTCGATTGTGACATTTTTTGCGGCAGTATAAGAACTAATATCAATCATGACATCATATAAATCTGTAAGAAAATTGAAAATTATTTAATAACCAATAATCAGAATTTCTAACACTGATTTTATTTGCTTTCTTTCTGTACAAAGATATGCTGCATAGACAATATACTAGTCTTTTTTTAGAAGAAATATTATTAGATTAAACGCTACCATCAGAATCTTTCCGAACTCCTACCCTCCGCCAAACTAAACACAGCCATTGCTTTCCATACCAAGTCTCCAGGCATTCAAAGATACATACAAATACTAATTAACCAAAAATCTCAAAATGGTACGCATTACCACGAAATATCATCTTTAAAGACCCCAAAGTTGTCACCACAGCTGTGTAAGAATACTTAGTCTGTTGTCTTATGTATTGTTTATAAATAATATATATATAGAAAAAAAAAAATATATATATATACTGTATAGACAAATGATAAAGCAAAGCGAAAGTAAGATATTGCCAATATTTGCACAGCTCTTCATCAGGTAATGACACAGATGTAAACGGAGGAATTTATAAGAAGTATACTGTATTACTAGGGAACAGTAAAATTGTAATTTCACTGTTCCCTGGTATTACAAAAGACATAAGATCTTCACTGTTCCCTGGTATTACAAAAGACATAAGATCCATGAGCGTGAATACGGTACCTACAAAACAAGTAACTGCTGAATGACTATAAAACAATAGAACCGCTAAAAACGGTTACAATGAAGCTGCAGGCCAGTAAAAGCCGACGAACTTAACCACTGGGAAACAAAAACATGCCTATGACAACATATATGGATTAATAATAATATAATACTAAAATCATCTGCTGATATATATTTTTTATATATTGCAGTACTAATATTTTTCCTTTGTATATATATTTGTGTTGCGGCAGTTTGGAGCAGCGGTTGAGATTTGGGGTTTCATTCGAAAAGTTGTGCAGATTCGCTTGCGTCCTTGGGCAAGGCACTTTAGCTTCATCGCTTCAGTCCACCTAGCTGTATCGATGGGTACCGGCAAACTCCTGGGGATAACCTGTGACAGACTAGTGTCCCGTCCAGGTGGGAGTACAACTCCCATCTGCTTCACACTACAGAAGGGGATAAGCTCCAGCCCTGGGTCCTGTGGCCCAGAAAGGATTTAGTAGTTAAATATATTTGTATTATATCATAACATGATAGCGTGTACTTCGATACTTAGAGTATACATTATACTTATTTGTATTATGTTAATGAAATTTACAGTTGATGTTATTTCAAATTTTCTTGTTTTTGGTTTATAATTTTATATATTCTCAGTTTGCTGTAATGATTGTTACTTTTGTTTTTTACGTCATGTAACTTTGTATAATTTGTATTTTTAGTCAAACAGTCTTTTGACAAGTTTCTCTGTCTGTAAATAAAGTTGTTATTTTAATATATATATATATATATAACAATATTTTCAAAATAGACACGCTCTTTTTTATTTGTGAAAAGTACAAGACGTCAATAATATCAATCTATTTTACAATCTATCTATTTTGTATCCTCAGCAACCATATATCAAAGGTGGGTTGCAGATCCTTCATTGGAAATCTGTAGTTACAATATTCTGAACATCAATAAGGTAATATTAATTTACTTGTTTGACTTAAAGCTCTCCTGTTTCCAAAAACCTAATGCGGAATGCGGTTTCATTTTTAAGTTGTTTTTTTTTTTAAATATGTATGAATAAAAATATAAAAGTACGTAATACTTAAGAATTATACAACATTTTATAGGCTATTTTACTAATTTTTAGACACTTAAATTAAAATATGGCTTTATCTATATGCATTAATAATCAATAATAATCATATTGAAAAATTCATCTAACTTGTATGCAGTATCATTAACATGATAATACAGTAACTAAATAATTATATATTTGATCCACAATATTTAAACAAGACCAGCCACAACTGGTTTATCTGGGATTTAAGCTAAGACTTACAAAATATGAAGGAAAAAAAATGAGTAAAATACCATTATATTTTTAAAACAAAGTGTACATGTTTAATAATTCTAATCAACAGGATTGAATCCAATTAAAAAAAATAAAATAAAAAATAAAAAAAGTAAACAAAAGGCAGGACCGAAAATTTGAACAATATTTTGATCAAACTGATGAAATTGGGAAATGGAAGTGTCAAAATATGTGAATAAAAATATTCAAATATTCTTATTAATAAATGGTAGCCATTTAGGCATAATTAAAATTGTACCAATAAGAAAATTTCAAAAAAAATTATTGAAATATGATATCCTATAAAAAAAATATTTATTATGCTTTTATATCAAAAAATATATTGTATAAAATGTTCGGAAAAATCCTGTCAACATCGACAGGTTTGATGTACAGTACTTTTGATTTATTGGCATCTCATAAAACATAGACATTATAAAAGAATTTACTTTTTCGTCATCTTTAGATAAATGTGTACTGACAAAGATATGTCTGTAACTATGTTTAATTTTTCTGGTATAAGTAAAAAAATAAAATTTATCTATAAACCATATGAACCTATTTTATCAAATATTCCTATACTTACAATAATTGAGAACTGTTGTTTCACTTTCTTTAGAACCAGCTATGTTTTTCGCTGTACATTTGTATCTTCCTCCATCACTCTCTGTTACAATGTCTATCTTATATGTTAAACGCAAGTTATTTTCAATTTTCTTGATAACATCGCCATCCTTAAAGAGCTTTACCACGTTAGGTAGACTGCCATTTGCAAGACATTCGATTGTGACATCTTTTACGGCAGTATAAGAACTAATATTAATCTTGACATCATCTAAATCTGTAAGAAGATTGAAAATTATTTAATAACCAATAATCAAAATTTCTAACACTGATTTTATTTGTTTTCTTTCTGTACAAAGATATGCTGCATAGACAATATACTAGTCTTTTTTTTTTTATAGAAAATTATTCAATTAAACGCTACCATCAGAATCTTTCCAAACTCCTACCCTCCGCTAAACTAAACACAGCATTACTTTCCATACCAAGTGCTCCAGGCATTCAAAGATACATACAAATACTATTTAACCGAAAATCTCAAAATGGTATGCATTACCACGAAATATCATCTTTAAAGACCCCAAAGTTGTCACCACAGCTGTGCAAGAACACTTAGTCTGTTGTCTTATGTATTCTGTTTATAAATAATATATTTAGAAAAAAATATATATATAGAAAAATGATAACGCAAAGCGAAAGTAAGATATTGCCAATATTTATTCGAAATAATACAATGTTTCGAGCACAGCTCTTCATCAGGTAATGACACAGATGTAAACGGAGGAATTTATAAGAAGTATACTGTATTACTAGGGAACAGTGAAATTGTAATTTCACTGTTCCCTGGTATTACAAAAGACATAAGATCCATGAGCGTGAATACGGTACCTACAAAACAAGTAACTGCTGATCGAATGACTATAAAACAATAGAACCGCTAAAAACGGTTACAATGAAGCTGTAGGCCAGTAAAGCCGACGAACTAAAGCACTGGGGAACAAAAACATGCCTATGACAACATATATGGATTAATAATAATATAATACTAAAATCATCTGCTGATATATATTTTTTATATATTGCAGTAGTAATATTTTTACTTTTGTATATATATTTGTGTTGCGGCAGTTTGGAGAAGCGGTTGAGATTTGGGGTTTCATTCGAAAAGTCGGGGTTTTCGAGTCTCCGCTGTGCAGATTTGCTTGTGTCCTTGGGCAAGGCACTTTAGCTTCATCGCTTCAGTCCACCTAGCTGTATCAATGGGTACCGGCAAACTCCTGGGGATAACCTGTGACAGACTAGTGTCCCGTCCAGGTGGGAGTACAACTCCCATCTGCTTCACACTACAGAAGGGGATAAGCTCCGGCCCTGGGTCCTAGTGGCCTAGAAAGGATTTAGTAGTTAAATATATTTGTATTATATCATAACATGATAGCGTGTACTTCGATACTTAGAGTATACATTATACTTATTTGTATTATGTTAATGAAATTTACAATTAATGTTATATCAAATTTTCTTGTTTTTGGTTAATAATTGTATATATTCTCA